AAATGAGATTACTCAACACCTGTTGGGAACCTTTCTAGAACATTCTCCAGAAAGTTGGGGGGGCCTCCTGTCTGGGCAAAGTCTGGTGCCTTACAGGTGAGGATTCCGGGTCTAAAGCATCCCTCTGATGCTTTGTGAGTAGACGGTCCGACCCGAAGTGGGGCAGGGGGACGGGGGTGAGGCCACTGCGTCCCCACCTCCTGGACCCGAACTGCCCTCGAGTGGAGTCCGCTGGGCCCCACCAGAGTGGTCTGACCACCCGCAGCCTCACAGCAGGGCAGGCTGGAAGCGTCTGCTTTTTCCTTGCAGCCCCTCTGTCCCTGCTGGGGCCAACCGTGCCGCCCTGAGGACGCGGCTCCCTGCCACCCGGAGCAGCTGATGGAGTCATTGCCCGGTCCTCGGTCCTCGGGTCAGCTGAGCACAGGCAGGACCGAGCCCCCAGCTGGGCCCTCCAGAAGGCATCCAAGCAGCTGGCCCATCCACCCGTCCACCGAGTCCTGGAGGGAGAGTGCCAACATTCCAGAACAAAGGAACCAGCTACTCGCTCTTGCCTCTGGGGCTGTGTTCATGACCACAGCACTTCCTGTGCTGTTCTGTCTGGACACCTGGCGCTCATCCCTGCTGGTCCTAATTCTGTCCCTCTGTCAGGGCCCCGCTAAGATGCCTCCTCCTCCAGGAAGCTGCCAGGAGGTCCCCTGCTCTCTTTCTTTTCTTGCCGCCTAACTTTGCCGGGACTGTTTTTCCCTGTCCTGAGCACCCGGAGCCTGTCCCAGCCGTGTGCGGGGAACGTGCATCCGTGGGTCCTGTTCCTTCCTCCTTGGTCAGGGGTGGCTTTCCCTTTCTGGCCAGGGTTGCTCCAGGCCTCTCTGCCTCCTCCCACCCCATGGCCTCAGTAAGAGAGCAGAAGGGAAGGGAAACAGCACAGCGTGGCCCTCGGATGTGTGACCTACTGCTTTTCCTCGAAGGCCCTGGAAGGCCGGGACTGTCCCTTGCTGCTCCCGCCCTCAGAAAGCACCGTCAACCATGGGGGACAGACAGACATCAGATGTAACCTGAAGGTGTCCCCGCCGCTGGGAAGTCACTGAGGCAGGGGCCGGGAGTGGGGAAGAAGAGCAGGCCCCAGAAGGCTCCATGTACATTCCCTGCCGTGCTGGCCCCTCGCTCGGCCTGGAGCCCCCCAGCCAGCCTGGCTTCTCCCCGGCCCTCCCTGGCTGGAGCCCTTGCTCAGCTCACGTGGGCCCCAAAGCAGCACACTCTCTCCTGCCTGCTCAACTCTGCCCAGAAGGTTCTCCTCTCTGGCCGCCCACCTCGGGCCTGCCTCTCCCGCAGGGCTGCGCCCCACTCTCCCTTGGCTCCTCGGCAAGTGTCCCCGCTCAGTCTCCACCGCAGCCCCTCTGGCGCACCGTGAGCCCTGGCTGGGTCGCTCTCCACTGCCTGCCTGGTGCCTCCCTGAGTCCCTGGAGCAGGGGGCGGCCCAGTAAGTACTTGGAGCTTGGAGGCTCCCACAGATGGGAAGGGGGCGGGGGTGGGGAGGGACTAGGGCGAGAGGCAGCAAAAGGGCTGGGGTGATCCCTGGGAGACTCCTTCTCAGGCACCTTTCCTCCCCTGCCTCCGTCAGCCACCTTGTTTCACTGTTTAACATCCCCTAGCTGCAAAGAGAAAGCTCACCCTCCAGCTACATTTTTCAGGCAATGACTGAGCAATGTCTTTTTGTGTTATCTCAAATTCTCAACGATTCGTTCAACTCCAGTCATTCTGAAGCAGCACATCACAGGGCTCCAACAAGCCTTCTTCCTTCATTGCCCCTGGCTTTGCTAACTTTAAATAAGTATGGAAGATGGGAAAGCTAAAAATCACCCCACGTCAACTGTGGAACCCAGAAATGTCCTCCTTTCTCTTGTTCTCAGGACAGTCACTTTTAAGTCATATTTCTCAATGTCCCTGAAAAAAATAAGGCGGGAGTGGCGTTTATGTGGCATTTTTAGACATGAGAGCCAAACACTGAAGAAAAATGCCTGAAACTGCCCGCAGGAGCTGGTCTGAGACTCTCGGTCACGCAGCATGTCCTGGCGGGAGGAGAAGCGCCACTTTCCTGACTTGAGTGGGCGCTGCATGGCCGCCCAGACGAACACACGGAAGTCAAGAAAAGACACAGGACCCTTGAAGGCAAGGCAAGGTGAGGCAAGGTAGCTGGGCAATGTCCTTTCCCAAGTCCCTTTTAGACCTGCCATCTCATTGCATTCCGGCAGTTTCTAGAACTTCTGAAAGCCCAGTACCTTCTCTTTGCTTTTAACACATTGACTGCCACACTAAAAAAAAAATTTTTCCTTGGGGCCACGGTGTTTTATTACGAAAATAGAATAAAAACTTCAAAAACAGAACGATCCTTTCTAATTTAATGAAAAATGTGTTATTTTTTATTGTTTTCTGTGTGTGAGTTACATGCAACTTGAAAAATAGTTCTTGCAGCTCCCAAGGTGAAGAGACGCGTGAGTTACATATGCTTCACGAGGCCCCGGGCTCAAAACTAGCGCGAGTTAAATATAATTCACATGGCAGTTAATGTGTTAAAACGGCAGCCAAGGGTAAAGTGGAATTGATTAAGATTGCCATTGCATTTTCATTGAAAATGTTCTTTCATTCACACATTGTTGAGTTAGTCAAAATAATCACCATCAGGCCCCCCGAGAAACGGCCTGTTGTTCCTGCCTGGCATTCTTGTATTTCATCAGCACAATTCCAAGTTTGTGCCTGAATCGTTTACTGCAATCACACATTACAGCTGGGAACGAAACATCACGGGTAATCACAGCTCAGGAGTCACTGAAACGTAACACCGTCCTCATGCAAGATGAAGGCTCAGGAAATAAACAGGTGAGACAGGAATTGTTTTATCAACGTCTATTATGTTGAGACTTTCTGACTAGGTGTGTGTGAGAGGGACAAGAAGTTTGTACAGATCTGCTCTGATAGCTACTTTGAAAGAACAGAATGTCCTGCTGCCACCTCCAAAGCAGTGGGAAGACCCAAAGCGAGCCTTTGCAGAGGCATGCCACCTTTGGCAGAACAACTCGTCAGCGAAAGAGCAGGAAAAAGGTAACAGTGAGTGATGGGCAGGAAACGGCTCCGACAAGCCCAGCCAAGAGGAAGCACCTAGCACTGGGCCCTCCCGAGAACTGCCTCCTCCCGACCGTCTCCCACCCCCACCCAGGCTCTGTGGCAAGGCCAGGGCTGAGGCCCGGCGCAGCAGCTCCCGTGGGGACTGGCACAGGAGGGGCTGCTGGCCTGAAGTCATTCTCCGCCTCATTCCTGACTCCAGCCGCTTTTCCAGCTGGTGAAGCCGTCTTGCTAATACATCGATAACAGTGTTTTTAAAGATCCTTCATGAAAAGATCTGCTGACATTCAGGAAGGCTGAATGTGAAAAACGATTCATACTTGTTCAGCTCCTGATTTCTAACGCCTCATAGAGGTGGCACAGCAGTTTCGGCTCTGTGCCTCTAACACCACCAGGGAGGGGGATCCGTGTCCTGTTTAGAAGGGGACTCGCAGCTTTACCTCGACACAGGCTTGGTCTCTGTCTTGCTGTGAGAGTACGAACAGCCACGCCAGCCGGCTGACCGACGCGCATCCAGGCTCTCGCCGTGTCTGCCGCCCGGGTTCCTCCCCAGCTTGTGCCGAGTTCCTCTTCCTTCCCGGTCAGGCGACGCCTCATTACCTATTCGATGGCCTCAAACTCAAAGAATATTTATTTTTCAAAATGCACTACTCTGGAATAAAATTTCTTTTTCCTCTCTGCTTACTAAATTCAGCATAGTTGGTGGTGATTATGAACCGAATGTTTGTGTCCCCCCAAAATCCTACCTTGAAGCCTTACCCCCGCAACATGATGGTTTTGGAGGTCTGGCCTTCAGAGGTGATCGGGTTCAGACTGGGTCCTGAGGGCTTCACCCTCACGATGGGATTAGTGCCCTTGTAAGAGGAAGACGGATCTCGCTCATCTCACGTGCACACGCAGAGGTGAGGCCACACGAGGACACAGCACAAAGGCAGTGTCCTGCAAGCCAGGAAGTTCCTCACCAGGAACAAGTCTGTCAGCACCTTGATCTTGGACTTGCAGCCTCCAGCACTGGGAGAAGAAAATGTCTGTTGTTTAAGCCACCCACTCTGTGCTATTTGGTTATAGCAGTCCAAGCTAAGACAATGGGTGAATAAATAAAATATGTCTGGACAATCATTTTAAGTAAAAACAATGTAAAGAGAGCTGTGTTTGCCCATGGCCTTTAGAAAGTCTAATGTAACCTGCCCAGGCAAAGAAAGGGTAGTATAGGGAGCCAGCTATAGCACAAATGATGGATCCCGGATTTCTTCTAGAACTGTTAGCCAAGACCCCGATCTAGGAACAGCATTCCCAGGACATTCCTCTCCACGGAGCTAGGTTCCTTGGCAGAGGGGCTCAGACTGTTTCATTTCTAAGGGTAGAAAGAGGCTATGATTCTCTCTAAAAGTCCTGCCTCCTGGTAGGTGTCAGGCTATGCGTCACCTGCAGGCCCAGGAGGGGAAAGACGGGAATGCTCATTCCCTCGCCTCCAAGAGCCCTGCTCAAGCCAAGTTCCCACTCAGGAACTCAAAGGCAGACTGGCCCAGGGTGCGGGAGTCAGTCCTGCTCTGTGCTGCACCGCGGAATTCTCCACGCAGGTTTCTCTGGACGCGGAAGGAGCAGCCGGACTGTGGAAGATGGGCAGCCGGTGACCCCAGGAGCCTGCACATCACCCGACCTCACGCACGGCAACGCAGAGAACATAGGCCTGGATGGGATTTTGTTTTTATTTATCATTTTGGTAAGTTATAGACATTTAAATTCTCAGCGATAATTTATAATAGTTACATCTTATATATGTCAGCTATTAGAAGAACACAAAGAGAAAATCAGAGTACAAAGACAGACTTCAAAAATGAGGTTACTGTTCTGTTTCACAGAAGGAGTTAAAATTCAAAATACCAAAGAGCTCACCTACTGGAACTAAACATTAAGCTTTAAACCTCCCTATGAGCTTATGAGCCTGAAATTACAACATTTAGAAACTGCCTAAAACCAAGGAATCAACAGTTCTGTTTTCATGGTAAGAAAACAAAAAATGCTTTGGGAAGCTATCTTTAATGCTTAAACATTTCTGCCCTGTTTGTATCTTGAATGACTGTATATAAACACAGGCCCAGCACGTATTTGAGAATAGGTCTCACAAATGGCTTTTACTGTAGGTTTCTCAAACATGTTTAGTCAATGAGAAAAACGATTCAGTCTATTGAACTTTAAGTTCAAAAAAATTAAAAGTATTTCCAGGGACTCTTAATGTTCTCTTTCCAAAAGGACAAAATGTTCTGCACTTTCACAATCTGAAGCAGTCACATCTTCTCTGAGATCAATGCAGGACGCAGAACTTGCTCCTAATGCAGACGCCTGTATACTGCTGCGCACCTCTAGCTTCAGAAAGGTGGTGAAACAGCTCACCAGGACCCTGTCTTCCTCATTGGTCTGGACTGTGACGGTGACCACAGCCAGACCCGTGTCCCCATCCACCTGCCTCCGAGGTCAGAGTCCCTGGCAATATTAGCCTGTCACTCTTTGGTCGGTTCTTCCTTGGGGGACTCCAGCTCCTTCAACAAATCTTTGCCAGCTGCTCCAGCTTTCGAAGCAAAATGAACTGCTCCCTGTTTAAAACCGAGGTTCTTCAAACTTCGGGCGTAATCTGCAAATATAGCCGCTATGAGTTTCTGTAAACCCCGGTTAAGGAAAAGAAGAGCAAAGGGGGCCATGACTGGGTTTCACACAGGCTCGCAGAGGCAGGAGGAGGAGCAGGCTCTGCCGGGCTGCCCGGGAGGGCCCTGGTGCTCACGAGGCGCAGCACAGGATGGGCGCAGACACCTCTTTGCTGGGGGAGAGCGATTCCTGGCCACCGGAGGCCGTGTCTCAATCTGTAACAAACCATCCTTCGCACCAGCTGGGCCCAAAGCAGCTGCGTCCAGAAGACCCAATCAACATCCTCCCAGATTCTCCCAAAACCTACACTCAACTCAAGACTGGAAAGAGAAAGATGAGAGGAGAGAAATTTATGTGCACACCTCGTTCATCTGAAAGTCTGAGAAGCTGGCGGTTTGGGAGCAGACATTGATTTCCCAAAGCAGGAGCTCCATCTGTTTGGATGTTGGGTCCTTAGTCCTGTTCTGTTGTGCTTAGACATTCAAAATGTGTACGTCAAACCGGGGTCATTTTACCAGTGATGAGGGATAGGATCTTCAGTAAGCTCAGGCTTTAGTTTAATTTTAATTTAATGTTTAAACAATTTTAGTTTAGTTTTAGTTTTAAATTTTCTGTAAAAAAAAAAACAGAAACATACACAGAACCAAATACCTGCCACGTAGAAAAGGAGGCAAATGTAATAATTCAAGAAAAAGTACACTGGGAAGAAGTAGGGCTATGCAAACACAAGGCACTGGAGCTGTATTCTAAAGCTCAATCTTTTGAAAGAAAAAAATGTGACTCAAGTCACATGTGGCAGAAACGTTCTTGCTGACGGTGGACCACAGCGGCTTGCCTACATGACACAACTCTGAAGTGCTGTATTTTGTTTGATATCAGACAGCCACTACGGGTGACAGTGGGAGTTTTTCTTTTTTTAGATATTCCGGTATATATTTTCCAGATAAATATATAAAACTTATTCATGGAATGCCTTGTTTTGAAAGTTCCAGGCCCTTATTCCTTTCCTAAATTCTTCTTTTCTCATCTTTTTAAGTTCAAACACCATGTGGGGTCCCTGCCCTTTACCGGCCTTCCTGCTCCCCTCCACCCTACACAGAGCAGTGCCAGTGACACAGCCCCTGCTTTCCAATTCCTACTCCTCCCTCTTCTCCCTCTTTCCTGGCTTTGGGGAATCACAACATGGATCTTTCTCAATATGATAAGTAAAGTAAATAAAGTTCCTGCCCAGGCAGTACAACGAAGAGGAATTTCCAAACCCACACATGCCATTTTCTTCCTCATAAACAACTTTGCAAAGGATATCTGTGTCCTCAGTGACTTCGAATGCACCATATTTGAGACAGGCTTCCACAAACAAGGCTGCTCTATCGAAGTATCTCATGCTGCTTGACAGAACAAAGTAAGAGTTATGCTTCGTGATTAATGTCATTTGTGGGTAGAACCTTCTAATGGTATATTTATAACAACTTGTACACATTTTCCCTGGAAACCTGAGTGTTGCAAAAGTTACACTAGCAGCTTTCTAAGCTCTGGTTTATTAAAAAAAAAAAAAAAAAGAAGAAGAAGGGATGAATGGATACTCATGTCCCTCACCCCAAGCTATTTTAAAATTAATACTTAAAAAAATTGTGAAATAGTTCAAGTACACAGAAATCTACGGAGATATGACAAATACCCATATACCCACTGTCCAGAGTTAACAAATAATCTTTTGTCATATTTGCCTTAACCTATCTCCCTTAGTTTCAAATAAATAAAATGTCCCATAATAAATGATGGGTATTTATTCCTCTTCAAGGTTTTCAGAGGGGACATCTCCAGCTCGCCATGCTTTCTGTTACCCTTCCTCCTGCTCTCTGGGCTTCCTCTCAGTTGCTCTATTCAAAGCTGAATCATCTGCAATTCTCTAAAGACTTCTTTTATATTCTTTTAAAATAGGTACCTGTTAGGTTTGACCAGTATGTTGTTAGTAAAATATCATAGCTCTTAAACCAAATGAAGAATGAATGGATACGAACAGTCCCTGTCACTTCGCACATCGAGTACTACCATCCACCTGCTAGAGCCTCAAGACCTCGTGAAGCGGTTAGTCCCGTGCAATCCTGAGCAGCCCAGGGGGCGCGCTTGGGCATACCTGTGCAGCGTCTCTGCCACGCTATAAAAGCAGCCCAGAGAGAGAAGGACCAGGAGGGCCTTTGACTTCTGATTGACTTGTGGAGAACAAAGGTGGTCAACCCACCGCTTTAGGACATCAGTGCACTCTTCAGAATTTAAACGGACCTGAAAAAGATGCCCATGTTAAAAACAAAAACATCCTGCACTCTATAAAGAAAAAAATCCTTCAGTCGAAGTGAGCTCTATTCCCATGAAACAAATGCTAGGCTTTGCTTGACTACCGCACTGCCCTGAAACCATGAACAGCAGTGATAATGACCTGCGCCTGCCTGTAGGACCTAGAGGCCTGGCAACACCTCTGGGCTGTAGTCCGGACTCAGACTCCAGCAGGGAGAGAAGACAGCTGCTTTCATTGAATTACTACCAACGTGAGCTCCATTTTTCAATAAGAAATGCAATTTACACTCATAAAGCATAGAAAGAGGATGAGAGTTGTAAAAAAAAAATTGCAAAGCAGGCTTTGCAGGCCAAAGAGTGCTTCCAAGTCATAAGCCGAAAGTTCAAGACTGAACTCTATCCCAAAGTTGAAGGCACCTACTGGGATCACCTACTTTTGCGAGCCACGCTGCCCGATTCCACTCGCCATATGTCTGCAGGTAGCGGCAGGCATCCACAGCTTTATCTATCAGGCAGAGCAACTGGACGCCCTCTAGGAGACAAAAGAACAGCCCCTGATGTGACGCTGCAGCTCTTTCTTTGACAAGTTATTAAAAAGTAAAATTACCACTTGATTTTCTCTAGTCTTGTGTATTTTATACCTACTGGAGACATTCCTGACTTGAACTTTAAGATAAAATATTAGGAGTTCTGCACTGTCACCACTCAGGATAGGAATACAATACAGTCCAGAGGATAAACAGTAAAGCATCTCCCACTCACAGGCTTTATTGTTCTAGTTTGCCTGGGATTACCCAATTTATGCCTATTGTTTTGGCAATTCTTTTTTTTAAAGAAACAAGTTGTCGGTCTGTCTCCCAGGCTGGAGTGCAGTGATGCGATCATAGCTCACTGTTACCTCAAGCTCCCAGGCTCAAGTGATCCTCCTGCTTCAGTTTCCCAAGTAGCTGGGACTACAGGTGTGTGCTGCTATGCTTGGCTAATTTTTTAAAAAATTTTTTGTAGAGAGGGGGGGTCTCACTATGTTGTCCAGGCTAGTCTTGAACTCCTGGCCTCAAGTGACCCTCTTGCCTCAGCCTCCAAAATTGCTGCAATTACAGGTATAAGCCCCCATGCCCAGCTGTCTTGGCAATTATTAATATTGCCCCCTTTCATTCTTAAAGTGTTCTGGCTTAGATGATTATAGACATCTTACAAATAGCTAACAACAGTTTTTCCATTTTTCTGCAGTGTATATCAAAAAGAAAGAAATGTCCCTAATAATCAAATACTTTGCTGGGAACAGGTCTGATTTTTCCAGAGTATTGACACATATACCCACAAAGTGCACTGCCTTACCTGCCAACTTGCCATTGGCAATCATATTAGTTGCCACCAACTTAATAGTGCTCTGCGAGGGGCCTGATGAGGTGACAGTAGTGACCAAACAGGCTTTCAGTGAATCGCAATAATAATGCTGGTTATCCGCACTTGTTTCCAATAGCAACTGCACAGCTCTGTCTGTCTAATAAGAGAAACAGTTTTTCTAATTATGAGAACATTTTCCAATATAACCTTTTTAAATTTATATGTAGAACAAGACATTCACTTTCAAATAATGCTCTTGAATATTTTGTTTACACACACAAAAACTGAACAAAAGTACAACACGACTTCTTTGAAATCAACATAAAATCAGAGGCTGCTGTATCCAGGTGCTCAAGTAACTGCCTATTTTAGCTTCGCGTCAGTCAATTGAGAGACATAAAAACAAAACGAAACAAATAGCTAGGCTTCATTTGACATTATGGAAGCCTAAATTACAAGCTGGTTAACCATGTTTTTATGTTCTTATGAGGTTTACTGGTGTTATTTTGAAAGAAACCCTAAATGTAAAGGAAGGAGATAACATTTAGGAGGGAAATATAATACACACACACACACACACACACACACACACACACACACACAATGCTCTGAAATACTAATTAGCAACTTCATGCAGCATGAACAGAGTTATGAAAACTGACATACTTGACCCAAGAGTAGTAGCTGGTCTGTACATTTCCTTGTATGATCGTAAGTTGACCGTTTTACTTCCTGTAGATTGACCCTTTCCAGTTGAAATTTCTAGAATAGGAAAAAAGGAAAATTAAACCTGGATTATAAGACTCTAGAATTATTTAAATATTACTATACTTAATAAAGTCATTTTAATAAACACTACTGTGGCTTCTGGGATTACCACGTAATCGACTTTAGAGAAGTCTAAGAATCTGAAAAGAAATAACGTTAAAATGCATTATTATTTGTATGCGTGTCTGCCTGCTTACGGAAACTGGCACTTGAGTAAAACCGGATGAAAAAATCCTACGTGAGCTGATGTATTCTGCTGTTCTGCTGGAGGTTAAAAGGTAAATTATGAAATAAAATTATGAAGCTACCTTT